GTCCGACGTTTTGTCGACCTGTCAGGCATTTCCGGAGATGCCGCAGGTAGATCACGGAGGTGGTATGTGGAACCGCGGTAAGACTGATTAAGGGTCGAGGAATGGTGGAAGTTCCCCCTGAAGAGGACCGCGTGGCGGCGGTCGAAACCGGTCGGGGTAGCCATACCCACCGGCGTTTTCAATCATTTGGCGTGTTTTGCAGTACACATACTCTCATGTATGATGATTGCATCTACTTTCTCTTTTGAGATCTCACTTTCGTCAACATCTTTGACGGCCCATGTGAACCAGCTCGGAAACCGCCGAGTACGAGTGAGCATGCTGAAGCTTTCACACTTTGTTACTTTGGTACTTTGACTCTTCGACATCTTTGACGTTTTGACTACGACACGCCGTACGGAAACGTGATTGCTAGGCAACCTGACGCTGAAGTCCATCTGCCGTTGAGGCGCAACGCATCTGCACGAGTGGAGGGAAGCTGACATCAGAAGAGATGTCGGGATCCGGCTATCGGGATAACCGTGATTACCGCCGGAGTTCGGAACGCGATCGTACCTATGATGATGGAAGATACGGAGGCCGCGATGCCGCATGCAAGAGAGGCCGTGATGGGCGACGCAATCGCTATCCTGAAGATGAGCGGAGCACGGGTTATCGTGAGGGAGTGACGCGTCCGCAGGTTACATGTTTTGAGTGCGGGGAGCCAGGGCATTACCGCAATCAATGCCCTACGTTGATTGGAGAATCCAGTACTCAACGAGGTCGATCGGCCTCACCAGGGTACGTGGCAAGAGGAGTCGTGAAGCGTCCCTCGTCTGAGGAACCTGCTCTCCGTAAGCAGCTGGAGGTTTTGACATCCACTATGGCCAGCATGAAGAGCTTCATTGACGCTGAACAAGCACGTAAGGACAAGGAGGAAAGACAGAGGAAGGAGTCCAAGAAGCGTGAACAAGAGAAAGCTGAACAACTTCGACGGGAGACCGAGGAGCAACTGGTGCGTGAACGACGAGCACGCAAGAAAGAAGACAAGAAGAAGAAAGAAGCTGAAGACCGAGCAGCCCTGCGCAAGGAGTTACGCATGGATATGAGACTCCATATGGGAGCGATGTGTGAAGGCGTTCACGATCGCATCATACAGACGATGCTATCGGAAGGAAAGAAGGGGAAAGCGAAGACCACTGAGTATAACTCTGATTACTCGGACGGTGACTCGGATGATAGCGAAGTCCAGGCTCTCAGCGAACAAACCGAGCGACTCATGATCAGCGAGAAAAGGAAGCGGGGTGAGGAAGAATGTGGGGGGGATAGTCCTCCTATTGTTACACCCACTAAGCGCTTCACCAAGCGAGGAGTTTTGGACCCGAAGAAGCTGCTATTGAGCGTTCGCCATCAGCCGCTGAAGAAGCCATCGCCCAAGAGGATGACTCCTGCTTCACTACCTCCTCCCCTCAGCAAGCGCAAGAAGATCCCAGCATCGCCTGGTTTGAAAGGGAAACTATGTTACGTTCAGGACAACCTGCGTAATTTGGGGTCATTTAATAAGGACGAACTGAAGACGATCTGTAGAGTGGAGGACGTAGCCTTTGAAGGCAAGAAGATGGACATCATCTTAGCCATTACCGAGAAGCAAGCCCACGTGGCTTATGGGACCGATGCGGAAAGCGACGACAAGACTACAGCCGAAGTACTGGCGCAGGAGAACTTACCTGAGGGTAACTCCGACGAGGACAAGGGGAGTGAACTTTGAACAAGCAGCCAATACTGGAGATTATGCCGAGCCCTAGTCATCGAACGGAAGAATGGTACTTACGATGAAGCACTGGAGATTGTTTATCGTTTCGTAATCTTGATCTTAGCACTTGATGATCAGACTAGATGGCTGAAGAAATGCGTTGCCACTTGGCTGAGACTCTATCAGCAGCATGGTATTCGTGCTTTTTATGGCTTTACTGCTGGGGTTTACCTACTTACCTCTCCTATCTGTCGGGCACAGTACGTAGGTCAGACCCGTAGGTGTGTGATCAGAAGGTGGAAGGAGCATGTTTCAAATTGTAGGAGGGCTAGTCGACAGACACACCTTTATCGCTGGTGGCAGGTTTTTGGAGCTGAATCGTACGTTCTGCTGCCCCTGGAAGACTGTGGGGGCTCCGTACATGAACTGCAATCTTTGGAGCAGTTGTACATCCGGCGCTGGAACCCTGTCCTGAATACATCTGGTAAGACTCGAAGGGGAACCCGTAAGAAGCAACGACCGGGAAAACGCAAGCGGCAACGTCGAGCACCCACACTCGGCAACGGCGACAAGGCTGCAGCTCTGAATCCAGTGCGTGCGAAGCTGACTGGTAGTGCGGTCTGGAGTGTTGACTTCTACAAGCTGTTGGAGGCCCAGGAGCAAGTCCACCACCTGAAGTTTAAGCTAAACGCAAGAGAAGGCAACTGCTGGTGCAGAGGCTGGAAATCCGTTAAGAAGACCTTCGGGAATTCCGACGTACGTGCCGCTGGGCAGCGTGTTAAGCTGTACGCATGTCGCGATGTTTTCGAAGCTGGACGTGATCTTGAGATCCTCCACCTGAGGAGATGGAGACCGAAGGTCGGCCCGGACAAGCGTTTCTTGCGTAATTTGTTCCGTAATCCGGATCGTATGCAGTTGTTGAATGCATGTAGTTTGGAAGCACTCGTCCGTATGATGCGCACTGAGGGTGACTTCCAACGACCTGCTAGCACTGCTTACCTACGGCGATTACTGTCTCGCTCTATTAAAGCCAACTTTGGATGGTCAATTAATGCTAGGATTATCGTACGGCTGAAGTTCGATGATAGGATACGATTAGTTGAGGTGAGGAAGTTAGTTAATGACGTGATCGAGGAGTTATCCATTCCTGGATGTTTGAAGGACCACGCACATACTACTGTTAGGATAGTATGGATTAAAAACCCATCTGTCGCTAGCATGTTGCACAACCAGCGCCGTTATGTGAAAGCTGGTGTGTTTACCTGCTCATGTGCAGGTTTACCCTACCCACGTGCAGGTGATCACATGTCGTTTCGTCTTCAGAACCTGGATGGGATTCATCCTCTGATTTGCAACACACACAACGTTCCGAAGTCGTCTCTGCAGGATCGATCCTCACTTCTGACTCAGGAGATCTCCGAAGTTGGGTTAACTACAGAGGCGTGAAGCCTACTGTTACTAAGGCTGTTGCAGATGGTTGCCTACTGAACTCGACTGATGACGATGATCGAAAGCTGTTGGACCCCAAGGTGGTCCGCCGATTGCAAGAAACCTTGGAAGGGCTCGTACTGACGCCCTTGGACAGGAACCCAGGGGAAACGCTGGTTCTATGCCCGCAAATCTATTTTGAGGGAATGATGAGTACGTTTGTGATGTCACCTGGTTACTCGATTGTCCAGTGTAAGGAAGATGAGCTACTGATCAAGATGAAGGAGGACACGAGGGATGCGCAACTTCTGCAGTTCATACGATGGGACACGAAGGGAAAGATCGGCGAGTCGTATATACTACCGAAGCAGGACTTGTCTCGCTACCGGCCGATCTGCCCTACGTTCTCGGAGCCCACTGTACGCACTTGCAAAGCCGTTTCCAAGGGTCTTAACCACCTACTTTCTTCACGGCCGATTGATTGGCATTTTGATCTTCGATCGGTTTCCCATTTAGTGCCGCGGCTGGAGCACGCCAACAAGATCATTGGAAGGAAGTTACGGAGCAATGATGCAATCATATCCATGTCATATGACATTAAGGATATGTTTAGCAAACTGCCACATGCTGACATCATCGCGGCTTTGGATTGGGCTGTGGACTATCACATAAGCAAAGGGAGGGCACAGGTGAGAGTGAATACACGTGGAAGAGGATGCACATTCGGACAAACTACAGGCGGCGAACACTGGAGATAACTTGATCTGGATTTGATCAAGCGCTTCATCCGATGGGAGATGCAACATACCTACACAAAGGCAACCGGTGTACTGTTGAAACAGGTGGTAGGCATCCCGATGGGCAAAAGCACTAGCCCACCGTTAGCATGCCTGATGTGCTCCTTTTCGGAGTTTCGCTTCCTTAGCGAACTGGGTACTTTGAAGAAGAACATTTTCGGCATCAGGCTGTTGGATGACGTCAGCCTCGTGATCTTCGAAGGAGGAAGGAAGGCAGTACCTGTCGAGAGGGTCGTTGAGAGTTTTGAGTCATGCTACCCCAGGAATTTGTCTTTGAAGCGCACCGACAATGGAAGTGGCCAATGGGATTTTCTGGGTACCGTTATGAGTGCTGATGTTGTTTACCCTTATCTGTGTTGTGTTCAGTACTCTCGCAATGAGGCTTCGATGTGGGAATCAGACGAGTTGGTGATCAAGAGCGGCCAATCCTACCGATCCTGGTGTGCCAAG